CCTATTTCCGAAAGTTTAATATTATCCTGTCATTTACATAACGGTCTCTCAAGTCGTTTCTTTCCGTCAAGCTTTCCAGCGAACATTTTACCTGAATTTATTTCCTACGTGTCTCACCATTTCATTCATTTGACAAACCTAGTACCTGCTAAAGTGCACAGATGATGAAGCTCATAATGAACCAACTTCAATGCCCTGTCACTTCATCCCTCTCTGGTTCATGTTACTATGTAGGAGATTGGAGAATGTGAGATTCTGAACTGCATGGTAGGAACATACCCAAATTTAAAATGCTCTTACTTCTTGAAAAAAATTGATTTATTACTGAAATTCCGAACGTGAACTTTGCCAGTCTTAAAGATTTATTAGCTGCCCTGGTCACATCTGACAATTTTAAGGCATTGGTTAACTCCCAGAAAAAAACAGTAAATACAGGAGATCACTACTTGTTACTCATCCATTATTTCTGCTTACTCCTGTATGCAGGCAGAAGGGAAAGTATGCAAGTTACTCTCATAACTTGTCACTTTTACATATCAATTATTCATTGATAACATTAGTCTGAAAGGGTTTTCGTTTCTGAATCTAGTGCAAGATACTGCAAACTACAAGAAAATTTATTCAACCAGAGCCAGATTTGGCCAGAGAACAGACATTCTCAACATGGATACCCCTGTTTGGCAGTGATTTCATATGTCTAAGAAATAACAGATCCTTTAACAGCATGATAACATTTCAGGGATTAAATATGCTTGTGTACTGTCATTATTCTCATGATACAGAACTTTCCATTGAAACAAGGGAAGTTCAGCAGTGTCAATAGTTTTCCTCAAAGATCCAAACTACGGTGAACATTTATCTGCAATGTTACAGTCTCCGCATCAGAGTGTCAAACAAAGTCGCAGACAACAACACTGCAGACACCTGAATCTGTGGAATGCAAGTCAAAAACATAGTATGCAAAAAGAAATGGTACCATTATATTCTCGTTCTAAAAAAAGATTTGTATTTGACGATGCATCTATGTGCACATTACAACACCTTTATCTTACAGGATCAGCATCACTTGTACACTATTTACAATAACATAGAATTTCTTTGTAATCATCGGAAAAATAATTAAAAACAAATATTCTCTGTACAAAACGATCAATGTTTGTACAATGTAGTTTGAAAAAAGAGAGAGAATGCTTTCTTACATAAAGGATGTGGACATAGGGAAGGCGGGGCATGAGGTTTTTATACAAATATAAAAGAAAACAATGGAGCAGAAAGAACAATGCCTAAAAAAACACGCAAAATGTGAAACACGTTTCTGACATGATATAAAAGTACTACGTGCACACAACAAATGGCTTGTGCTACCATGTTTGTCACGCCACTGGCTTATTCCAGTGCACTGCATATATATGTACATATAGAAAACAAAGTATTATTGCAACGTGAGGTACAGATAACCATTACCAATATATCCTGCAAACATTTCTAAAATATTCAGTCTCAGTTAAACTTCATTCAACAGCATCTAACTTTCCTGGGACATCACTACAGTTTTAGAGATACGAACGTGCCTCATCGGCAAGAGGTCCACTGCGATACATATGTACATGTGTATGAGTGTGTGTGTATAATATATACTTAAAAGAAGAATTTTGAAATATTTCCACTCAATCAGCAGACAGGTACACTTTTGTTTCCAAAATGGCAACTCTGGATTTCGTTCAGTTAAGCCGACATACACACAGGCATCCGATAAAATTAATGTTTAACATTTCTTCAAAAGATACGGTGGCAAGATCACAACCATTAACAGAGCTACTTGATCTTTAAGCAGCCAAAAATGTATTTACCCATGAATAATGTACAAGCCATTTGTTAAAAGTCTTTCTTTCCTGACTGATTTAAGAAGTTTTACTTGTCAAACCCCATTAACAAATTTTGCAAACCATATCTTTTAAATAAAATATAAACTGACAAATACAGTACTATATTCACACACTTTGTTAACACTTACATTATGTACAAAAATATTAATTCATGTCTTAAACCAGTAATTGACTTTTGTACACTAAATTATTTTCCGCTAAGCTACATACACTGTGCAAATATATACAGGACAGTCTAAAAGAGTTAAATACCACATCACACATCCTCATTCAAAGATAACAACGTGAACTGAGAACAAATTGGAAACTGGATAATAAATTTAATTTAAAACATTTGGCAAAACACTATTCATTTTAAAAGCTACATTTCAGTCACCTTTGTAGAAGACTGAGCATGCTTTGAGCATGCATGCCTGGTGTTGGAAGGGAGATCACTTAGTGATGCCCTACATGACTGATGAACCTCGTCAGATCACTATAAAATTATTAGGTTACCACGTTCATCACCTAACCTCACAGCCCTTGTTTGTGGGCAGAGTCCTATCACCACCTTCAGTGTTGTTTGGTGTCGCACTGCCTGACGCAATGTCCTGGCTCGGCTGCGTTTTCATAACGTAACCCTCCTGGCACCTAGCTAGTTTTAATCGAATTGGGGTCACTTTGGACGTCCGTACATTCAGAAGTTCTGAGCCCTTACTGTCTGCGACCATACTAGAGTTGGTGGAAGGGTGGCCTTCATTTTCACTCTCTGGGGGGACAGAAGGATCTGCTCCAGTACTGGAAAATGCAGGGGCACCGACCCGGCCTTCCACATCCTCTCTGAATCGTGGTACTGGAGCAGATCCGCTACCATCTGCATTGTTTGCACCACCATTGCCGACACTATTTGTACTACGTTTGTTGATCCTGATTATGAGTTTTGGCGCACTCACTTTCTCGTCCGCCGTGATGATCTGCACTTCGTGTTGTGAGGAGTCAAATTGCCTCTGCTTGCGACGTTTCCCCGTTACCACTTTGCTCTGTTTCTTTTCTGCTTCATCAAAATCAGCCATGATCATGCGACGGAACTTCATGCTCTCCCGTTTCAGTTCTTCCACGGTCGGCATCTGAACACTGCTGAGTCTCTTCTTCGGAGGTCGAACTCGCAGTTTCTTCTCCTCTATGTTACTCTCTGCTTCTGGAGCTCCAATTATACTGTTACCAATCTTGATTTTCAGTTTAGGAGCCAAAACCAGAATGGGCCCTGACGCAGGCACCGCAGACTTGGGCGGTCTGCCCCGTCTCTTGATGGGGGGTGTTGTGATGTTGTCAGGCTGATGGGTTGAGGAAGCATTGCTGCCTGTTGACCCCACACTCCGTCTCCTTTCAGGAGGACACGCGTCATCTTGTTCCAAAGACAAGTCCAAATGTCTCAGTTCCCGAGGAACTGCCAGCGACGAGGAGAACGCCTTCTCTTTCCGTCGCTTCTTTTCCATATTTGCATCCACAACAGCCTTGTAGTCTTCGCGAGTTGGTATTGAAGTCATAGATGCAACTGCCTTGGGGATGGTGATAACAGTTCGATTGACAGGAGGCGCAGCAGTTGGGGCCATGGCCTGTCCGGTCACAGCCCCACCTGCTGGGTCATCCATATTCATATCCTGGGAACAGTACTGACGGAGCAACTCCTTCTTGCGCATGCGACGCAGGTTAGATGTTCCTGAAGATGATGCTCCTGAGGAGACAGCTGTGGTGGCTGCAGGGATGATGTTGGAGACTGCAACTGCATCCAGTGGAGGCATTACTGGCAATAATGGTTGCTGCTGGGCCAGAGGTGGTACAGTCGAGGCTGCCGCATAATTTGCATCAAGGAAAGGACCCTTGATCTTCACCTTCAGCTGGTTGCGTGAATCCGACAGTGACACTTTGTTGTTCGACGAAATACCATCATTTGCTGTATTGCTCGCTAGAGCCTCGTCAATTTGCTTTGAGATCTCGTCAGTGTATTTCTGTGGTTCTGGTGGTCTCCTGGCAGCAAGAGCTGAGTGCAACTCCTTCTCTAAATCTTCCACAAAGTCTGTAACATGCTGCTCAGCTGTTGAGGTTGTAAATGATGTTCCAAGCAAGTGGTTATGGTAAGCCGAGGGGTTGTTGGTAGGTGTGGGCTCATAGGACGAACTGTAAGTGCGCATGTCAACGGGACCAGGAAGAAGGGGTTGTACCACATCTGGGAACTGCTCCATCCTGTCAGAAGTAATGCTGTTGATTGGAGATGGCAGGGGCAGAATTTCATCAACAGACAAATGAAGACCAGGTAGTGGTGAAGGGGGTCTCAGATCCCGAATATCTGCACTGTAAGAGCGCAACTTGGAGTTGGGCACCTGGTGCATTGGACTGGTGAACTTGGGTGAGGGAGAAGCGTCACGGGACAGAAATGAGCTCTCTGATAGTTTCCTCTCATGCATGTCTGTAGAGCGCCGCCTCTCCCTCATAGCACGCAAGTTCTCCACACTCTCACTTGGGGAGTCATCATCAAACTCCAGATCATACACTGTACCCACCAGCTTACTGTGTATTGTATTGAAGTCTGACTCTGGAAAGTGTGACAAGTGCTGTCCTCTGCCACGACCTCGGCCCCTGCGAGACCCAGCTCGTGGCTGGTTGTACATTGCACGATTCACTAGCTTGCCACTGCCACTGCCACTACCACGCTTATTGCTGCCAGCATCCCGCAGACGACTCTGGGCCAGGGCTTTACCTGTTGCCGCATCCTGCTGTCGCGGAGACTTTCCAGGTGATTTGCCCGGTGACTTGCCTTGCTGAGAGATGAAACGAGCTGAGGTCCGTGTTGGCTTTGCAGGCGACTTTTTCCCAGCAGCACTGCCGCTAGACATTGCTTTAGGTGTCTGTGAATCTGAAAGTGATATAGGTGGGGCAGGAGTTCGTGGTGGTGGTGGTGGTTGATGTGTTGTTTGGGGTGCAGGTGATGGCATTGGTACAGAAGTGGGTGTAGTAGGGTCTGCAGGTGCAGGTGGTGAAGAGTGATTGTGGTCTGGAAGTCCTCTGTTGCTTCCTGCTGGAGACATTGTGATGGGCAATTGCTGAATGGATTCTTGTGGTGGAACAAAGGAGGCCGGAGTAAGAGGGGGTTCAGAGTGCATTACAGGTGATGGTGTAGGAGGAAGGAGATTTGAAGTGGCTACAGAGGGTGGGGGAGAGACCATGGCTGCAGTCAGTGCCATGTTGTGTGATGATGATGTGAAGGCAGCAGCACAAGGTGGCGGCACTTCAGGTTTTGGTACCGGTGCCAATATGGAGTGAGGTGTAGGAAAAGGGGGACCAAAAGGAGGATATATACCACTAGGCGATGGATATGGCATTTGGGCACAAGCTGGAGGAGGAAACAGGGCAACAGGGCTGACAAAGGGAGATGCTTCTGAGTAGGGGTGATATGGAGGGGCATCAGTGAGGTAGGGTGGAAGACCAGGGTGCAACCCCTGATATGATGTAAGGTCAGCACCTGTAGGTGTGTGAGGAGGAAGGTGTAGATCATCACGTTTGGTTGGGTCAGGTTCTTCGCGATGAGAAGACGATGAGGTGGACGAAGCAGAAGAAGATGATGAACGCCTAGCCGGGATCATCTCACTCTCCGTCCATTTGGCTCGATTGCGAAGGTCAGTGTAAGGGGAAGGAGCAGGTGGGAGTGTTTCATAGTGATGTGGGGGAATTAAACCATGATGTTGCTCTGTTTGTTGCGATACAAAATCCATGCTTGGCGGAACCCAGCGCTCATCTGCTTGAGCACTGTTGCTCCGATCCAACTTCTCGCGCCCTGGAATCGACACCTTGGTAACCTCAAGCTGCATGCTACATGCATGGTAGTCGTAAGGGCCATTTGGCTCCCCACCCACATATGGCGGCACGTCACTCTTGTCCAGCCGTTCATCTGCGGGCAGAGGCTCATGTGGCACAAGCAGCTTGCTGTCCACCGAGCAATCCATACTGGCAGGAATATCTACCTTAACGTCAGTGTCTGTTTCATGGGGCTTTTCATCCTTGGGCTCACAAGCATTTGCCTCAACAATGTCCATGACCTGAGGCTGAACTTCGTGTTTCTCATCACCAATCTCATCCAAATGTATTGTACCATCATCTGGCACTGGACCCAAGGATTCTGCTGTTTCAGGCTGAACCACATTTGTTGTAGTCTTTTTGGCATATTCCAGCCTCAGTTTTTCTACCAAAAGGTGTGTTTCCCTTGCACTATCCTCTTTTGAATCTTCCTTAAACAAGAATTCACTGCTGAAAGAAAATGTTAGAGGTGGAGCTCGCATAATTTCTTCAGAATCACGAGCGATGGTAAACCCATCATCATTCACTGTCTCATCAACAGCAAGAATATCGTTTTCAAAGTCAAACAATTCAGACACAGGGGGATCTTTAGATGGCTGCTGAGGGGAGAATAAGGACCTCTGTTGATAGGGAAGAACATTCACGGATGACGATCGGGATGTAATTTTCTTCGAGTCATGAGTTTCTTTTTCAGGAACCTGGAACTCGCTGCCTAATTCTAAAGCACAGGCTCTTTCAAGATGGGGCATCAAAGTGAATGAGGCATTTGCAGCTGTCTTGTTTTCCTGTAGTATAAGTTCAGGCATCAGAACAGGAGCCACCATTTCCTTTGTACCTGGTTGCACACTCGCTTCTACCGATGCCACAGAAACCTCTTCAGGATCCGCGGCAGGTGGCTTGATGACCGCTGGGTGGACTTCTTCAACCTTCAGCACTGAATCATCTCCTTGTGCATCTTGACTACCATCTGCATCACTCAGGATCCCCAAAGCTTTCTTCTTACATCTGGGCATGGGCTTCAGTTTTCTCTTGGTCTTGTCGTCTTCCTCGCAAGACTCCAACGACCCTCTTCTACTGTCCTTCACCAGATCATCCACATCGGTCGGTTTATGTGATTCGGGCGCGCCCAAAGGCCTCTTAATTTCGTCCTTCTTCAGTGCAGATTCTCTTTCCTCCATTCCAGCAACGATCTTCCTAATCACAGTGTCTTTCACATCTTTGTCTGTACTTGACGTTATCACTGAATTATGTTTTGAAGCCTTGGATGTAACATCTTTCTCCATTTGCAGTCCTAGATCTTTAATTTTCTTTTTCACATCATTATTTTCCATTGAATCTCTATCTTTGACCATTCTTTTAAAAGACTTTTCATCTAATGCTGACGCTTTTATATGAGGTTCAACAGATTTCTGCTTTTCTTTTGTGTGCACTTCTTGTCTGACAGTTGCCTTCTTTTCGGCGTCTCTAAAAACCGCATCTTTCTTACCTTCTTTCTCTAGTGGTGTATTTCCAGACTGTTTCTGTATCACCCTGTTTCCCTCCTTCTCTGTAGGTTTTCCAGCTTTATCACCTGACTTTAATTCTTTTTCTGTAGGCTTTGTGTGGAACAGCTTGTCTAGGGTCACTTTTGATGTCTTCTTACCCAAAGTCTCTCGCTCTGCCTTCCTCTCACTGATTTCCCTCTCAAGCTGGCTACCCAATGAGTCTTTATTAGGTGTGGTCTCCCGTGGAACTCTTCCAAACTTCTTTCCATCTCCATCTACTTTCTTCTCAGTTTTCTTGGTCGAAGACGACACGTGCTCATTGGACTGGATTCTCTCTTTATGGGGTGGTGCTTCTGCAGCTGAGTCACTGCTCCCGGGCAAACTGACAGTGTCACAGCACAGGTTTGAAGTAGGCTGCTCAATCTCATTTGATTTTCTCTTCCTTGCCTCATGCTGTTTGAGCTGGTCTTTCTTAAGGATTCCTCTCTCTGCATCTGATTCTCTCTCTGTGCCCCGCTTCGGCTGCTCCTCAGCTCTCGGAGTACGCGATCGGTTGCGTCTGCTTGCGGGGCCTTGCTCTCTTTTTGACACGTCATTACAGGGAGAGAAATCACCTCGATTTTTGGGGCCAGGTAGATCTCCTGATCGACCGTCAGCATTTCTGACCCTATTTTCCTCACCTGTTCCAAGTTCCTTGTAGATTTCAGGCTTCCAACCTCTCCCAGGTTTTTCTTTGGCTCGTGATGGTTCATCTCTCTCAACAATCGGCGGCTGAAACTCAAGTTCAGGCCGCCCGTCGGAAGTTTTAAGCTTCTTGTCAGGCGCCTTCTTAAATTTCTTGCCAACCGATTTTGAGTTAGGACCCTTTCTGTCCTCAGCATCTGATGACTTGGGTTTGGACCTACAGAAGGGATCACTTTTCTCTTCAGGTGGTTTGATACGGTTCTTTTGTTGTGTCTTGGTACAGACAGTATTGTCATCGGTGTCAGAGTCACTTGAAGAGGAACTATTTTCTGATGGCTGATCAACACTCTTGTTAGCATTCTTCCTTTCCTGCACTGGTTTAGTTTTCTTATCACAAACATCACTGGTTTCTTTCTGTGTGGAGAACAGTGCCTCTATTGAGGACTTCTTTTCATTGCTTCTTTCAGTTTTAACATCCTTCTTGAAAGACTTACTGCTAGGCTTTAGCTTTTCCTCAACTTCATTGTCACTATCTGTACTTGAGGAAGAAGAATCATCAGAGGAACTAGATGTTGAAGACGATGACAGAAGTTCACGAGATTTCAAAGATGGTTTTGGTTTGGTGTCTGAAATTTTTGACACGCCCTTAGACTTTTCAGTTTCCTGCTCCTTCTTGTTCTTTAAAACCTCAGATTCCTTTTTGGACTTTAATTCCACTTGGTCCTTCCTTGTCCTGGCAGATTCTGCGTCCAGCTCTCCAACAACCGGCTTTGTCATGCCACTTTTGATGTGTGCCGCAGCCTTCTTGGCCGCTTGTCTCTGAGGAACGTACGCCAAAATCTCCTGAGCATCGCAACTATCTTTTTCAAAGTCGTAAATATCACCGCCAGACCTCTGAGTCTTGGAGTCTCTTGTCTTATGCCTCACCTTTTGTCTAGCCTTTGGCTCCTCAATGCTGGGAGATATTTTGAAAGCCTCTTGCTCAAACAGAATCTGTTCTTTAGTTCTCCCTTGTGAGCACCGTATACTTTCTGTTGCTTTCTTAGCAGCCTGTCTCTGAGGGACAATGAGGTCAGTGGGGTCATACTCCTTCTTTCTAGCAGATTTAACATTTTCTTTATCTTTAATGAAATCATCATCCATAGAGTCATCCTGTTTAAGCTCTTTTTCCTTCTTAAAACTCCTCGAGGACTTCGCGTTGTTTTTCTGCGGTGACCTGTCGACCTTGGTCTGAAAACCTGCCGAGAACTCTTTAACTGCGGCCTTGGTACGCAGCACGTGCTGCTGAGAATCACTTGGAATATTCGAAGGAGATTTATTTTCATTTCTGTCACCACCCGATATATCGCCTTTCAGAGAGAGCTCTGAATCACTGTCAGAATAAATAGCATTGATTTTATTTGGTTCACTGTTAGTGGCCTTGACAGGTAGCATGAGATCATCAGTATCATCACTGCCCGACACTTTATCGCCCAGTTCCCGTTCCATTTGCCGCAGCGTTCTGCTGCGTGGAGATTGCCACAAGATTTTGCTAGATTTCTCTTCCTCCTCACTCGATGATTCCACTTTTGTCCGTGAGATAAATGCCTTTCTACTTCTCTTCCTGTCAATGGCCTTTGAACCACTGACACTGTTCTTCCTATTGCAAGGTGGCCTCTTTCGAACACAATCGGTAGTGATGCTGTGTTTCCCCTCCTCCTCTGTGCTGGATGCCGCACTGTCTGCCAGACCCAGCCGTACAGTAGCAGGGGTCTTGCGAACAGAGACATTACAACTGGGGCGCCTGCTCCCTCTTGACGGAGCAGCAGTGTCGGTCTCACTCCCACTAGACATGCTGCCATATAGACTACTCCTGCGCCTGCCTGCTCCATTAAAGTACAGTCTTTTGTATGGGTTTTCCAATGAGGTCTTCTTGTCAGAGGAGCACTTCACCAGGCCATTTAAGTCTGTCTTATTTTTCTCATCTGCAGTACTGGGTTTGGGTGAGGTGATGCCTGCAATACGGGCAAGCACCAGCTCAAAGTCTCCACTGTGATCTTCTGCACTGGGTTCGGAGTAGAGGCGATCATAAATGGAAGGGCCGTGGTTTGCTTCTATGACAGCTGCTACCTCCTTTCCCTTCAAATTGCAGCTCACATCACTGAGGACAACAGCCTGCTTGTGGAAAGTCTGTTCACGCATGCGGAAAAATGTTCGCGACAGCTTCTCTCGCCGACTCACCATGTAGCAGAGATTGCGAACCTAAAAGCAAAACAAAAAGATTCAAGCATTCGCCACTTGCAGAGTACAAAAGGGATTAAAAAATTATGGACAACATTGGAATATTTCTGTTGCATGATTAACAACACTGATGAGACGTGGTCATGCTACAGCTGAAGGTCAGATGGCGATACACTGTGAGTGCGACTGAGTTATAATCCGCGTGTGCCAAGTAAGCATGGCATAAAGATGATTGCTCCACTAGAAGTTTACACCAAAGACAAGCAACATGTAATAGTGCCTTTTTTGTCAGTGTTGAAAGGGGCAGAGACCCATCAACACTGGGCTGCCAAGTACAGACAGAACTGTTTGCCACGATGCAATGTATATGTGTGGATTAAAATGCTTAAAAGCAGCCAAACCAAAGTTATTAATGGAGACAGGTAATGATGCGCATCCACAAACGAGCAAAACACGGAACACACTCTAGCAATTATTCTTGGAAAGTGATAATAAACCAGAAGTAATTTCATAAAGAATGAGATTCCCACTTTTTGAATGAGCAGGAAACGTTGCTATTGTGCATGACAGACTGAAATGCTGTCAGTCATTAGTACCACATCCTGTAATTCCAGAGAGACGTAATGCACTGGAGAGTTTGCCTTGTGAATATATAAAAAGAGTGTGCCTGAAAGTACCTTACATCAAGACAAACAATTATTTTCAGAAACTTACGTGACAGTTCTTCTACAAAACTGTCATACAGATTTTTGTTTTGAATACAACCACTCATGGCACGATATTCAAACAATTCTTATAAAACACTTAAACACACAACACTAAGCTAACAGCAGACTGTGCCATACTGACCCGTTCGAGGTCCTGCCGCAGCTGAACAAACATCTTCATCTTCTCCAGATCTGCTTGCTCCTGCTGATGAGACAGGATGTCCACGTCCTCGGACCTGGGTGGCAGCAGTGGTTTGTTGAAGGCAGCCTGGAGGAAAACGTTTTGATTTATATGACAGACGAAACCTCATGAAATCCACCTTCAGATATTACCCGTGCCACTTCAATAGCCATAATATTACCAACAATAACAAAGTTCCAAATAACATTACCACGGAAACATTCTGAAGATCCAGAATATTGCTCACCATCGAAATGTGGATTTGAACCAAAAAGATCTGCAGACTACCATTCTCACTATTATTTTATTGCAGGTATTTCCACAGTTTGCAATCATACCACACACAACTGAGAGGCTAATATAGCATAATTAAAGCAGGTGCATTACCCCCACCTTTCTCTTGAGCTTCCAGTAGTTGTAGATGTACTGAATCCCCTCTACGTCCACGTCCATGTGCTGCGTGATGTCCTTGATGCTCACGTGTTTGTCAAACTCTGCTTCAATCTCTTGAAGCCTGCCATCATCATTAGCAATTTAGCTATGGACATAGCACTCACAACTCATTACCTTTATAGTACTGTTCTGGAGTCCAACGCTACTCCAGATACTTACAAAAATGGAATTTCCCAAAAACCTTCCTCTATTTTGGTCTTCTGAGTTGAAATTCTGTGTGGACTTGTACGTTGATATCATTGTTTCAGAAAAACAACAGTACTTTCATACAAGTCAACATGACATTACAACCCAGAAAGCAAACCACTGTGGAAGCTCGAAACTCAAAAAATTCCCTCTACTCTGATAAATATATTTTCTACCATCACTCCCTGACTGCGTGCTGACAGTCAAATTCTCCCTTATATTTTAAGTACCCAGGCTTCCTGTAAACCTCTGTCTCTCTCAATAACAACCAAAAGGCATGATCACTAGCAACTCGGTCTACAGTACATAACTCTGTACACCAGAATCCAAATTCTTGTAGCCTTTGATTTCAAGACAACATGTTTATTATTAAGCAATCACTAACATATCAGTCAGAATTTTTTCAACAAAAACTTTTCTTCTGCTAATTACATAATCAATTTAAACTGTTAGGTGGTTGAATGAAGTACTATATACACAAAAAAGCCTATAAATATTTCAGTAACTAACGTGTCAGCTTGTAGAGATACGTACTTGGCTGCCCGCGCCTGGTTCTTCTCCTCCGATGTCATGTCCTTTCTCTTCTTTCTCTTTGATTCCTCATCTTCAGACGCAGAACCACTTTTCTCTTTCTTGCTGGTGACACTATGTTTCTGGCAGTACGACTACAAACACGAACATCAAAATGAGTACTCACAATCGTGACTGTGACGCATGAATGATACGGCCACTGCGCTAATACTCACCCTCAGTTTCACTCCATCGTCAGCATTCTCATCCTCAATTATGGCCCTCATCTCAAGGCCGTGCTTAAAAGCACATGTGACGTGGTACGCTGTTTTGCAAGTCTTCACAGAACACTGGATGCACGCCCCCACCCTCTCTCGACAGAGGACGCAGATCAGTGCCCAGCGGCTTTGCTGCAGATAGAAAGTAGAAGTTTGCCTAAGTAAGTGAACACTACAAAAAAAACTTCAATTAAACCCTTCATTTAATATTTTTGGGCATTAAACTGCGCATAGTACGCTTAACATAGACAAGTACACGACAAAGTGTTCATTTTCTGTCCTAACACTGTGCCTGTTCTTGTTACATAAAACAGCTGACACAAACTTCAAAATTAAATGTACGCTAAAAACCGGTTTGCTAGCACCAAGCAACAAAATGTAAGAACAAGCACACATGGAACATTTTAAGTAAACATCTAATACTCATGCACAAAAAGCTAAAACATCAGACATCTAATCAATTTTAAGCTGTGTCTTAGTATCATGACTGTAACAAGGCCTCGTGTTCTAACTTAAGAGGAAGAGTCACTGATTCAACACATTTCTCTGGTGAAGCACCTGAAATTCCAATTTCATTCCTTCATATGTTTTATATTAAAATGCAAATTATGTGAGACTTGAGTCTCCCACGGCAGTAAAGATATTGACGTTGATCCTCTGGGTTCTAACACCATGTGGGCTCATAGGTACATACCAAAATTTCAGAAACAAACAGCATTACTACCCACAAGATCAACATCAACATCTTCAACATTATGGTAACCTCAAATCTCACATATAAATACTGCTCTCCTGAAATCTGCACATCCAATATAATGTTATTGCCTCCTACTTACGATTGCTAACACAGTACCAGAATATGTATCATTGCCACTTGCTACTACTAAACCCTTTGACTTACCTAATGAATGAAGACTAATTATGTCCTTTGTATTAAAACACAGCATAGAAAAGGACAAGTAAGGTATGTGGCCTGGCAATGCAAGATGTAAACTTCAAACGAAAAAGAAAAAACACTATGAAATGTAATAAATCAGGAACGAGACAGTATTAAATGTGTTTAGAAAAACAGAACACTCAAGATGAACTTACTGGGATGCTGGATATTTTGGTGATAGGCTCCATGCGTTCCACGCAGCCAATGCTCACTTCAGGGATCCAGAGAGCACAAGACACATGAGCCCACTTCTGGCCTGAACGCGTACACTTCATGGCACCCCCCTTGTTGGGACAGAGCACGCATTCAGGTCGCAGGCCGATGGCACACGTACGACATAGCCACGAGCCCGATGGTATAGTTGTGATGCCATAGCATGCCTGATGCACACAGATGTTGCACGAGTCGCAGAACACCATCTCGTTGCCTTCCTCTGAGTCCGGCTGAAAACAGAATTTGGGATGTAATCAGTATTTTAAATTTTGTGGGGTATTCACTAAACTGCTCCATCTGTCAGTATATATGAAACAACGGGACAGATTACGTTTGAACTTTATGAAAAATTACAGTCATTTCAATTTTAATTTAAACAATTTTAACATCTACTTTACACAAACATTACAGATTTTCTTGGTGTAATGTTAATAAAATAGGTCATTCTACATCAAACCAAAGGCCCACAATTATTTCAGAAGATTACAACAATTAATGGAGGGACAAACAGTCTTAAGTTTGGACTGCTGATATAAAATTTGTTTTTGCTGTTACTTTAGTGGCGTATTACATACAATACAACTTTGAAGCATATATTACACAAGTTATGTACATTTAATTTTATTTTAATGTTTGTAATAACACTGAACACAGAAGCATTAATACTGATACAATTTGTACTTCTCACCAATTTATATAAGTATGACATACAAAGAATAAGTGCAAATTTAATGTAGCTGAAGCTGCGGATTAAATGATGCTACTCAACATTACACACTTGAATGTTTCAGGAGAAAAGTCTGAGCAGTCTTAATTGTCCGAAGACTACACCATCTATTTTCACAATGCCATGAAAACATCAAATATTACAAGGAAATTTCAGCATCATGATTTAACCTACACGATTTTTCAAATAATTTCCTTTAACCACAAACGATTCAGTTTAACCACAAGATGCTGGTTGAAAATACTCACAGATCTACAGACATCGCAGATGACATTCTCATCATACTCTATACCAAGCCCCTCCTCCGTTTTCACGATAGTCTGCACTTTCTCCCAGCAACGAATCTCCAGCTCTTCGATCACACACTCCAGTTGGTCTTCTGTGATAGGGTGTAGGCCTGGGAAATCCAAGAGAACATGTAACCAACAGACACAAAAACAGCGGAATCTCGTACAAACATATATGATGTGAAGCTTTCACGGCGGCTTTCATTAATAAAGTCTTCTTGGGCTATCAGCTGTGTCAGTTGGTAATCAATTGCCGACGTTTCAAGGACCATCTCTGTCCTCATTTTCAAGGCTGTACATGGGTAAACTTCAATCAGACTACAGGGCACAACAACCTAGAAGACAGCCATCTTCAAACACAAATTTTTCCTGATAGTGTCCATAACACAAATACAATGTATATTGGCACCATACAATTCTGTGAAGTGCGGAAACAGGCGGTAATTAGGAGGAAATTAGCTTTAAACAGTCTCAATAAATGTGTAGTTGGGGCACAGAATATCGTGATAAAAGTTTGAGAGCAATTATGTTACGCACTAGTGGAGTCAAACATGATGACAGGAGAGGAAATTTGGGGACTTGACAATGGGTGGAAAGAAAGAGGAAAAGTTCATGGCTTATTTTATAGAAGAGAAATTGGGATGCAGGAAACCCCATTTCGTCATGAAGAAGGCACAGCTTGAAACACATTCATTGCTTGTCTCCAGTAACTACTCAGTAGCATTGAAAAGAAAATCTGATAAATACTTCAAAAGTTCTGCCTCCTTCTCGCTGAAATAACATTCTTCACACAAGCAAGAGCAGTGAACTAAGCAAATTTCACAAACAGAAATAAAAATCTCACCTTTGGTATAAAAATTTGCCAGTCACAAGAACTTAATTTTGATGAATGACATTTACAGTCACACTTCACGGCCAAATTACATTTTGGTCCAAGTTAGGACTACCGCTTAACATGAAAGCCAGAATACATGCACTGAATATTTCATACAGCAAGATACAGCCACCAATGGAACATTTTTATATGCTCAGCGCTTTCTTCACTGAACTGCCACTTTTGCAGATAATATGAAAACTGCTTCCACCATTTGTACTAGTTCCTAGGACAGTTATCTGAAAATTTGCAATTCATTTACTTTTTACTTATTTATAGCTCCACAGCACTCACCCATGCATGCCCGTTCTCCATTGACGATCTGTAACCACGCGACATCACAGTCATCCAGGTCATAAGAGCAGGCTTTCTCAGCCTTTGCAGGTGTATTTGAAAGGAAATGTTCTTCATTGGTGAAGAAGTCATCCTTAGTGATACGAATGTATTTGGATTTTGGCCTAGAAAAATCACAGAACTGATAGAAAGAATCATAACTTATACTGATATTTAACTAGCAGTCAACACAGAGACCCAGGCACAACACTCTAAATAAAAAGCGAGGATGTGGTATGTTCTTGATTTGAAAGTAACCGATCGACACGGAAGAGCAGTAGCCTCCGGTCAATCAAGGCTCATTATAAACAAGGCCAGCAGGATACACATTCACTAGGAATAGTACGCACATGCACACACACACACACACACACCTCTGTTCATGCTGGGAGTGAGAGTAGTCTTGTACGAGGCAGCAGTAAATGATGACTTGAGATAACAAACATACATATATCTAGCAAGAGATCTAATCAAGTATGAGTACATCCAAAGTCAATCACAGCAGTGAGAGATGCAGACACCACGTCATCATCGAGTGGTTAGCGTATGGGGGATGTCAGACTGAGGTCCTGGATATGATTCTCAACCTTTTTGAGATTTCCCTTAGACCCTCCAAAAGAGCATGAGCATTCCTTTAAAACAGGCGAAGACAACTTCATTCCATATCAATCTTAACTTACTTCTCCTAGCCACCCTCCCAGTTTACGCTATATAATGGAAGGAATAATTGTGTGTCATTAAATAAACTAAGAAACACACTCCTTCTACAGTGAGGGGTTATATATAATACTACAGGAATAGTGTACTGAATTATGGTAGAGATAAACATTAGAAAACTTTGCCACTCACAGCTTGAAATCCTGCTGTGACCTGGAACTGCAGCACTGGTTCACGGTGACAGTAGGCTGGGGAAGAGAGTCCGGGTTGACTGGCACCTGCACCCCACGCTCCCACTCTTGTTTCCACTGGTCTGTTATCACCCAGTACTCATCTGGTGACAGCGGCTCTGAATCGGGCAGCTTCATTGCACTGATCAGGTCCTTTCTGAACAACTGAACAACAAACCAGCAGTGTAAGTACAGCCACAAATAATCTGAGTACATGAACAGCGATTTTAATACAGTATTTAATGTCAAGTACCAGAATGTGAAATTCACCATGAAAGCCCATTCATTTCAATGCACATTACTAAAATTCACACCCATAAGAATAATTTTAATTCAAGCATAATCAAATTTAAAACAAATGCTCTACTGCAACATACTTTCAAGGAAGAAGTTGGTTCAACCACGTACTATGCTAGAGATGTGAAGTGCAAAAATGTTAACAATGGTAAGAAAATGAAAGCACATTCATATTTGAAGACAATGTGTGTACATTTAAAAACAGTGTACAAGAGCTATACAATACTCTGCAGGCTCCATATCATCATTACCGACAACAATGCAGAAGCAAAAATCCCAATTTGAGAAAATATCACTGTGGCGTTGCAAATGATCCATGTCAGCTGACGCGTAAAATGAAACGTACTGTTCAACACAAGCAGATACTTGCTGGCCTCCTGCGAAGTGGAGGGGGACAAATTTTTTTAACAAACTGTAGGATGAGACAAGTAAGAAGAGTAGCCATCACCAAAGACAACAATCAGCTTCCGAAGTCATGCCCACTGTCTTCTGCATTGTAGCGGCATTTTCTACAGAAGGAATCCAAAAATGATGACACACGCTACATGTTTCTCAAGGAGAGCCTAAAACCTGCCACTGGCAAGAACAAGGCCATCTGCCTACAACACAACAATACGCAAACAGCATACTCTCAAGCAATGGGCAATACAATCAAAAAACTGTCGACAGAAGTTCTTGCACGGCCACAATGGACTCTATAGACCTCTCACACTGCGACTCTATCAACTCTTGGATCCTCTGAAGGTGGCACACAATGGAATCCCCAACTGCACCAACAGCACACTGGATGCAGTAAGTGGTGGCATGACGCAGAAAGGCAAATCAAGGTGACACAGCAGAAACTAAAATTACTTCTTTGCACCGAGAGCAATGCAGGCCTTCTTTCATAGCTTCTGTCTTCTGTCACAATACTACACTGTCAACGTTTTACTACGTAAACTTCTAGCCTATCACAACTTTCTTCATTCAACCACATTAACAATAACTGCCAGCTATATAATGTCCTTGCTTAGATCATCTCCCTTGGTCCTTTCTTTTCAAGTACTTGCAATTTACATTCTTCTTCCACAGAAACAGACCACATTTAACAAAAATGTATGTTTAATGATGCAACACAGCGTCACACTCTTCCTGAACTTTTTCTTTTTCATTATGGATGTTCAGTGGCATTACTACACGTGCAAACAATACATCCAGAGACATTAAACTAATCACGACCACTGGTAACAAGCAAGAAGCAATGTTGATAACAGTCCAAGTAGTAACACATTCAACACCGGAACAGTAAGAGTATATACATTCCTTGAGCCTGCTAAAACCGCACATCACACCTTCTTAGTTACGTCTTGACACTTAAATTTCCTTGCAAGAACATTTTCACACGCACGCCATGTTCCCAACTCTAATTAAGCTTCTTCTTTCACAGTTCTCTTTTTGAGACCACACATTCTTCATAGGAAACTGCTTTCAAGATGCAAATTGTCTCTTCAAGGCTGTGATGCTGCATGGTTTTGCAGACTGTTACTAGCATTTTGGAGGAACAAACTACGTACCAGAACACACAACACTACAACCCACGAGATCACCATTGACTTTCAATCTCTTCTCATCCATTGCACTTATGGTAAAAATTCAGGCAAAACTATAACTTATCACATTTTAATCCTCCTGTCCTTTCTTCCATGCAACTCGTACAAACCAGGCCTAGCAAAAGCAACAAACACATTCTGAATATACCAATGGCAGGACCGGTGACACGCATAAAGGAAAACATGACAAATGACTGACAAGCAACATTTTCAGCAGATTCACGCCAAGAGCCATAAAAATTAGCAGTCAAACAGCAGATACATGGCAAGTAAACAAGGTTAAGACTCACCTCTGCTGGAGCCTCTGTCGCGCTACGGTTGTAAATGCTAGAGATCTTGAGGTCATTAAGAGGGCGTGGGGTCCAAACAGCACCTGCTGCAGCAGCATCCATGGCCGTCATCTCTTCTTCTTCCGCCGTCGGCGGACGACACTTGCGCCGCTTAGCAGGGACTGGGGAATTTTGAAAACACATATATTTGTGCCCAAACTATAAAAGTTACTGACAGCAAAACATGCCTCAAAATTTACTTACTAGGGCCATCATCTGTTCTATTTGGTTGGCGTTTGCCTCGTTGTGACATTCTGACCTAGCAAAGCTAAATGTACATGGATAACTGCTGCAGCATCACAACCTGAAAATAAATACAAAATTAGTCTATGTGTTGTTTTGTAACAGTATCACACTGACATTGACATACAATCAAAACTTTTTGACTACTATGCAACACATTTCACTTACTGTACTGCTAAGAACTAATATTTGGTGTATGGATTGAAACACTTACTGCATAATTGAAGTTGTACTTAAAGAAGGTGCAGGGCTAAAGTATACACAAAAGAACTGAATCACAGTTCAGTTACATTAAGTGTAGTCAATAAAGCACTATTACTGGTTCATAACACACTACACATTTCTCAATTATAGTGCAGTCATAAAAATTTAAAGTATTTACTCCAAAGTGATTAGTTCTCATGAAACTTTGCATCTAATCTTAACATTTACTCACAAACTGAATCACTAAAACACACATGTCACTCTCAGATACACTCTAAATTTTGAATTCACCGCATCCACAACATACAAAATCAATATTTTACACTTAAAATACCATAAATTTGGTAGCTTATTTCACAGCAGACTGTGTTCAATGGATGGTGCCTCCCTAGACATGGATGTAAACATTGGCCATACTTTCTAAATTCATGCACATAACTTGATGATACGGCGAAATACAATAACCATATATCACCAAAAATATCCCAAACGAACATTATTCCCGACAAAATTAAATAAAAACGGCATTTTCAGTTACTTTTCAATATCACAAATCGTGCCCACGGCTCAACGTTAGGCCTAACAACATTGACAACACAGATGGCAGCACCCGCAGCGACGTTTCATTAATCTTTGGTTGCCTAGATGAACGATTGAGACACATCATTATTGATCTCTATTGTTTATTCTGATGCTGCATCTATCTCCTGAACGAAATTTTCGAACGTGTTAGGGGCAAATATCACCAATAAGTCGCAATTTTATCACGTTATTGAAAGCATTTCAAGGTAGGACCCATGTCTCTGTCATCAGCCTAACCAACATGTCCTCATTAGAAATTCTGCTTCTACTAACGAGCTACAGACTCACCGTAAGAAGCACATCGGAGCTATTTAAAAATCTAGAAGTACTGTAGATGAGTATCACCTACACCATCAAGTCTCCAAAACCACGAACACGATAAAATATTAACATAAAACTGGATACCATCATTTGGCGCCATCATGCCTGAAAAAATAACTGTAGAAGTTGAGGTCACGTGATCATCGGCCGCGAGATCTCACGATTTCCGAGATATTTCAGGATGCTGTGCGCAAAGTTGTAGTTGTGATATGTTAATAGTGTTTAATTGTAATTGATTTTGAAACAGCTCACATCGTATAAATCCATTTGAAATTGCAGGCGACACATTGTTCTACGGCTTTTGCTTTGGTATTAAACATCATGGAACAGGTATGTGGAACCGATTTGGTACGGTATTATATATGCTAGGTTATATTTTTCTAACCTACATTACAGACACATTCATATGCTACCTTGGAAGTCCTGTAAACATGAGATAATACGTATGTATCGAATAAAGTGGGCACTTCGACATTGTTCGCCCCAAAAGTGCATTTATACAACATATCTTTAGATGATTGTCATGGATGAAATAACTCCTGCTGTTAAGTAGACCAAACTGCATTTTGGAGAGTATCAGTCTCTTCTTTTCCTACTCTGCTCCTCCATTCACAAAGCATAACCAAAAACTTAATACATTATGATTTTGCACTTCCAGATACCCAGTATTTTTACAGAGGGTCAGAAACATAACATAATTACAGAATATGGTTAGGATTGAAGTGCAAAGGCCCCCTACCCCTGCAGAGAGCATTTCCCTATAGAATGAACATATTCCAGTGTGATGGCTCATCCTTGTCAGCTTGGTTTCCAGACCTCAAATATGGAGAACTTCATAATTCAGAATTATGGCTACTGAAGTGAAATTCGAGAATGGATTGACGCACTGTTGTAGAAGAAGCTAATGACTGCTTATCTAGTCAAGGAATTCTCTGCTGCTAATGGAACAAGGCTTAGTATTAGGTTCATAAGACCCCCAATAGTGGTTGCATCTTAATGTTATCCTCAAAAGTGGTCTTTTGCCTTCACTAACACATCCTCATTACTGCTGTTGTCAGGATCTGAAGACCAGGATTGACCAGGCATGTCACACTGCTGAGGAGTTCACCAAGCTGTATTATGAGAGTGTGGACAAGAGACGCCACGTGAGTACTGTCATGTCAAAATGATGAATATTTTACACCAAGGATGTATAACAGCAATATTTGCTTGTTGCAGCTGATGTCAAGATACTATTTGGACTCAGGGGTCCTTGTATGGAATGGAAATGGAACTGTTGGCAAGGACTTGATACAGAAGTTTTTTGAAGGCTTACCACCATCAGAGCACACACTAACATCTCTGGATTCTCAGCCTGTTCTTGGTAAACTGCTTCATCATTCTGCAGAAATGTGAATGTTGGTCAGAAAACTTGTTATCCTGACTGAAATTGCTATAGCTTACATCAATCTCCCTCCCCAAGGCATATGCATGCAGTCCACACGTCTCCTTTGAATCCCTTCCTGCTCACTGGCTTAACCCCTACATCATTAAGTAACATATAAATTGGTCAGTCTGTACTCCAGCACAGGGGTGAGCAAAGTAGAGCTTGCAAATAGTACAGTCCATCCTGCAACAATATTAATACATAATTAATACCAGACCTTTATAAGTCTTTAGTTTAAAATATATTGCTGTATGTAGAGAAAGTGCCTATCACAAATATCAAAAGGTAACACATTTTCTTTAACATGTACCTAACACTTTGAGGACCTTCAATTTTCTATCGGTGCCCAGAGGTTGTTAAAAAAAATGGAAAATAGCAACATGGTTACTGTTTTGTCTTCAGATTTTGGTAGCTGAAAGTAATTTTAAATTAAACTTGGCATGTAAAATAATTTTAAATGCTGAACAAATTTCATAAAATACACACACACCTTTTGTTTAAATTTTTGTGAAGTTTGATTTGAGAGGTCAAACACCAATAGTTTTCCAGTTTGCCACTGTACTTAATGGCTCAAGTGAACGTTCATGGCATCGTTTATTTCAAGTCAATTTCCATACGCCTGCTCCCTGAATATGCGGCCGTTTGTTTGCTAGCATGAACCACAAGCTAGAGGAAAACAAGAAACAAGACATTAGGGTAATAGTATGTACGCCACTTGCACGATTTCATTAAAGTATTAGTCATTAGAGGATTGCCTTTCGTTACCTGGGCTTCAGTAGGTCATGTTGTGAGCTGTAATTTTGTTCAGGTTGTGGGTTGTGACACCATGTAGCTTTGTAAGTGGTTACCAATGTATGTTCCTCTAAAATAATGGAAACCTCTATAGTACTACCCAGTGTCAAGATGTCTTTTTCTCACAGTTTTCTTTGAACCAAAGTGGGACTCTACATGCCCAGAGACCTCTGCAAGGCACAAGGTTGAACACAACATGTTTTATTTCAGATGCAGCTGTGGCCAATCAGCTGACATTTCTGATTCTTGTGTGTGGATTTGTAAAATATCAAGAGAGGGTTTCAGGGCCATTCCAGCAGAATTTTATGATCACGGCTCAGGGAGACAAATGGAAGATCGTGAGCGACTGCTTCCGCCTGCAAGAACCTGTGACGTACGTATACAAGAGACGAGCGTGTGTTAGTTACTATAGTCTGTGGGATACAGGTTGGGGGTTATCCTAGACACGAAGTTTTCTTTCTTTGGAGTAACCTGTTAGGGAGCTGTGAACAGGAATGAGGGCCCTCCAACCTTATCTCACAAATTTAAAAACAATATTCATTTGTGTTCCATCTATTTCATGAAATGCAATGTTTACATTATTCACTTTTCTTTTCAGGTTGTGACTGGAATGCTGTATACATTTATGATGAAATATTTATAAAGCTGTTAATAAATTTTACAAACCACTGACAATTCTTGTGGCATGCAAGCTGAATACAAATGCTACCATGTACAAAAATACAGACTACTCAAGAAACATTTTATTGATTAAAAAAAATACAGTCATAAAAATTTAACACATGCAATTATCAATTTTTGTGCAAATACAGCCCTTGATTTAGAACTTTGGACTTTGTTGGCAGTAAAATCACGGTTAAGCAAGTGTACACAGATAAAAAGAAGGTACCACCAGCCATAGAACTAACCTGACTTTAAATATCTTTTTCAACCCCTCGGCAGAAATAAGGATACACAAAAGAACATGGAAGACCAAACACATTACTTACATTCATTCAGTACAAAAATCACATTTCAAGCTGTCAATAAGAATGGATGGATGACATATGAAACCCACAACTCCCCGTGCCTCCAATCAACATTATGGCGTTTCCTCAGGAGGAAGTGGCAGTTCAGGGTATGGCTCATTTGCAGAAGGCTGTGGGGGAAGAATACCTCCTACAGCTCCCTCCTCATGCTCTGCCCCCTGGACTGCTGGGGCAGGAACAGGGTTGCCACCAGCATCGAGTTCCAGAACAGGGTCAGCTGTTGCTTCAGCCAAGTTTGTCACTGACTTGGATTTGACACACTGCATCAGAAACAAGGCAAATCAACGTTACCACCGACAACAGACGCACCCACCTCAGTCACCCTGATTATCGCTTGTGCTACAATGTGACTTCTAATTACCATGCAGGACACTTGTAGTTGTTGAATCATAATTTCTTACTTAGAAGGTGAACTTTGATACAGGTAAAAATGACATGGCAAACACAACAAGTCCATGCACCATCAAGATCCCGAAGACCAACATCAACATCTTCACCACCTCACAGAGCTTATAAAAGTTTACTTGCTGTAGCCTATACATCTACCTGAAAGTCAACATGTCTGCTCTTGGCCTCCTCCTTTTCCCATGACATGTGTATGAATGGCCTCTGCACATAGTTGTAGATCACCTCCGCTCGTCCACCCGCCCTCTTCTTGACCTTCTCTTTGTAAGTTGGGTACCCCTCTATTCCAAGACGGATCTTCTTCAGTCCACGCTCCTTCATAACTTGTTTGGCCACATCCCGATTTTCTATGTACTTAAAGAATCTATACATTGCAGTGCTATTAACGGCTGAAAATCAAGACAAACTTTTAATCAAATATAGTCCACTGAGGCACTGTGCAGACAGGTGTGTGGTTTGTTTAGGAGATGCAACATCTTCAATTTCAGTATATATTTATTTATTATTTCAGTCTATACACAAACTTAGTTTTTAAAATGTTGTTGTTAATAATAATGAACAACTGACCAAAATATGCAAAATACTACGAAGATCAAAAGGAACACCTACAAAAAAGAAATCTACAAATACAAAACAAATAAATCAATAAAAGCTTGCATTAATAAATATATATTAGTTTTAAAGATGAAAATAACAACAAAAAAACCTGAGGATGATGCAATAGCATCGAAACATGTCGTAAAATATAAGCGCTGAAATGTAACATCGAAATAACGATGAAAAGCGCTAAATTTTAATTTTAACAACAACATTTTAAAAACTAAGTTTGTGTATAGACTGAAATAATAAATAAATATATACTGAATTTTAACACAAACATGACGCATCTAAACTATAAAATCTTCAATTTCATTGATGTCGATCTTCGGGATTGTAATGCCACGTACACTTGTATGTAGATACTAATATTTCAGAGGATTGTTCGGCCTCCGTTTGCCCTAAAGGTGGAGGCAGTATGGTTCTCCGAAACATTGGCATCTACCAAAAATCCCACAGAACCTTGGAGCCCAGACAACAACACTGCCTGCTGTGCGAACCTCAAATATAATTTTGTACTTAGTTTCCCATGCGTACCTCTTCTTCACAGTCACCACAGTGAGTTAAGTCCTCTACGAGTATATAGTGCATGCCAGGGCCTGTACAGCCCCACAGTGCAAGTGCGTGTAATGTATTGCATGGGCACATGACTAATACAATCTGTTACAATTTTTTGGGCTTATCTACTATCATGTTTGTCTTAAAATGCAACATTACCAAAACTGGTTCTTTCATCTTTAACCATTAGGCATGCTAATCCGAATCGGCTATCTCAGTGCATTTTAAGAAAACCGATATGTTGGGCAGAATCCAATAAATTACAGTTGTGTTACATCTTGATCAGAAACATTATAAATAATTTCACCTATACAGTTGCTTATTTCTTTGCCAGAAAGTCACAGACACTTAGAAACTGTATATAAAATAAGCAAACAAACAAACTATTAAACACTATAAAAAAGACACTAGTGCCATAGAACTTTTTATAAACTGTATGTTTGCTTCTGGACTACGGAACAAGAAAACTGATACTCACTCTGGGAGTACTCCTCCCCCATCTGAGGTGGGTACTCTTCATCCCAGTCGACAACATCATCATCCAACAGAACGACAACATGGCACTCGCGATCGCCTCGCTGTGCCGAGTTCACCATCAGTGGAAGGATCAGCTCCTCGAGGAACACTTCAAACTGGCAGCGTGCCCCTTCGTTGGAGAGCTCATGCAATAAGCCCCCTGCAACATCCAATTATTTTTAAGGACTGTCACAATTATGTTATTAATGTCTCAGAAGTTTACTTCATTGCAAAAAACAGTTTTCACTAGCATGCATAAATCAGTTGATATGTAAGTAACCCCTCCCCCTGCTCTGTCTAATTTTTGAGCATGGCACCACAGACTCAAAATGCTGATGTGAATAGTGCAGCACGGGCAATACCGTACTTCCCTTGTGTTTGCAGCAGACTTAAACAGTCCCACGAGTGCATTTGGAGAATTGGAATGTTATAAGAATTTGTAAGCACGGATTCCTCTTCACCAGACAAGACAACCCCGATCACTTTTATTTCTACAACCAAGCTATGGCTTTACCAAATTTTAATTGCCTATACTCTCTTAAGGGGAAAAAAGATTTTGGTTAATGTGATCGCCATGCTGTGTTTCTTTTACCCATTTCAACTTCTGAACCACATGACTGATTTTCACAATACTCAGAGTGAATATTATGTCATGGGATATGCGCACACATACGTGCCACAGAATACCGCACGGGGACAGCTCATGAACACACCTGCATAGTCAATATGAAGTACTGTTTAAGAGTAAACCGTTATAAACGTGGCAATGACGCAGAACTAACGGGTTATATCTGAAAAATTTAATGTGGATAGCATTGGTATTTAAGCAGTTACTTTTCCAAAAATTAAAAGAAACTAGTATCTTGTAACATACTTACAACTGTGAGCAATAACAAAATAATGTGACGCACATCAGATTTGACTGAATGGTCACCTTTGCAAACCAATTCTGCTAGTGGGTTATATATAAACTTACATTACCTAAACATGACAATAATAACACAAAATATGTAAAACTATAAATCTATGTATTTGGAAAGTGGGCTTTATGGATTATGCATGAAACTCCTTGTTGGTAACTGGTATAAAATATTATAATTCAAAGTCAGTTCCGTTCAATATTAAGTAATTAAAATTAGTAAAGACCAGCAAACTGAGTGCAACTACAAATACCATAACAACCAAAAAGCCATACTCTGCAACACTGAAATTCTACACTAGAATGAAAAAAGTAACACATTCTATTTATGCCACATTTAATTTTCATAAGTGTGTTTAAAGCACTTACGGAGATTCTGGCACTTGACAGTTTGAGCATCAAATGGAACAAGCAGATAGTCGCACGCCTCTCGCAGTTCTTGCACAGAAACTGTAGGGGGGCACCTTATCAAACCGCCTTTGTAATACTCCAAGATCGAACGAAACACTGTGGCGGAGATCCCGTCGGCAACTTCATACTCCCCACGCTCGTTCGGGTGCATGAAGTCCATGCCAGAGCTGAACATTCTGTATGGGTAAACAGTAACTGGTGTAAGCCCGTGAAGGGAATCAAAAGACACATCACAGCAGCACGCGAATGACATACCTGCCAAGCATCGTATTTGGGTGTGCAGTGAACAGCGCAGGGTCTAAGATGAATCGTGTGTTGTCCACCACCAGAGTGACACGCTCGTCACTCACAGGAGAGACAGTCATGTTAGAAGATGGGTCTGTGTCCCTGTTCATCTGGTTCTTTGCTGGCCCAAGTGAGTGGTGCTGCGTGCGGGACCTGCGTCACAACGCAAAAGACACGTTATGCCTCAATCGAAGAAGTACAAACTGCTACCAGTCATTGCCCGTGGCAAACTTGCCTGTTACGAGGAGCAATGTTGAGGGACTGCTTGGGTGTTGCCACAAGGTGTGGTCGCTGGTCATTTGGACCACCTCCACCTTGTCTCTGGACCAAACATGGCTTTGGTTTTGATGACGACCCATAACTGAAACATAACAAGATGGCATGACACTTGTGATTTTTCACAGAAACATGCCAAAGATATCATTAAAAAATGCTGGAATACTAATCTAGAGGAATAAGAAGACTTGAAAGAACTTTTAGACAATATTCAACTAAAGGTTGAAACAGATCACTTTGGTCTAAATCTATGAAGTCATATGATGATGAAAATTATTATTACTGTTACTGTTTTGTAACAGTTCCACTGTTCAAGTATTAACTGTAAAATTCACATAAAAATAGAATAAGTATGAGGTTCTACAGCCTGTTAGTAATGCAATGCATGACTTCCAGGCTGCATACATCACAGGTACTCACTCAACTCCTGGGTACAGCAAGAAACAAGTAAACTGATCCCAATGTCACCTGCAAAGTGCTCAAACCAAACCTGAATTACCATGAACAGAGTGTCCCATCTGTCTGTCACAGAGAGAGAGGAGCTGGAGTAAGGAAAAGCAACCATCCTAATCAGCAGGCCAATCCTTAACCACTATACACAACTATTATCTACCCTAAAAATATTTAACACAAGCCGGCGACTACCAGCCTGTGCTCTACAGCATGGCAATAAGCTTGTAGACTTTGCAAGCAGAACAAAGGCAAACTTGGTCAATATTTTTCACTGTGAATAGTAGGTACATCTCCTCCTCTTTGCCACCACCCACATTACACTTTTTGCATTTCTCCTAGGGATGAACAGCTGGGACCCAGACTACTGCATTTTTATTCACACAATTCCCAATACATTCTTGTTAATAAGCACTCATTATAAGCAACCAGTACTCCTCTTACCTCATTCTGTTCTTATGGTAAACCCTCCTTCTCCTATCATCAGAATCGTGGTAATCCTCAGTATCACTACTGCTGTCCCGGTCATATGAATGACGATCCTTGGAAACAGACATGGCACACCTCGAGCTGTTCAATGAAGACTCAAGGTAAGTGCCAGCGAGTTAGACTTCTGACTGTGGTTTCAGTCCCCCACTCTGCCGTGTTCTGATACAAGTTCATTTGGACTGACTTTGTGAGGTTATGTTGGGTTACCTCTAAGGGGACCCAAACCACATTTGACAATTTTACACTTGTAATTGGATGATTCAGAAGCCAATGAGTGAAAGTCAGTAACAATAATTTTATTCTGTTTTGTGAGATACGTTTTTAATGTTATTAAAAACTATCTTATGCCAATAACAACCAAGTTATTAAGCAACATTCATCATAAAATATCTTTGTAGCGACCTCTAATATTTATGTCATATAATAACAAAATGTTGTTTTTGTTTTCTGTGATAAGTTCACTGGCCTCTGTAGCACCCAACTATTAGCCTTCAAATATGTAAATAATTGATATTGTCACAATACCATCTACGTCTATAAACAGCATAACTTCAGAAAAGCTGTTCCATGTAAGACTCACTGTCATGTTCTTTGGTAACCAGTATAATAATGTTTTACTGAGAGAGAAAAATGGCATGGAGAAACCCATGACAGTATGAAAGTAATCACACTTCAGGCACATGGTATGTAGTGTGTTGTAACAGGAGTCAAAGATTTCAATAGATCATAAATTGAGTTTGCTGTTTCTTATTTGTTGTTTTGATAGTATGATATGTTTGACACTTAAGTTGCCATTTGAGTTGGCAGATTCAAAGGCGGGTCAGGAAGGTTAGTTAACAGTCTTTCATGCTAAGGCTAGCAATGAAGCAACTAGTAAAACAATCAATTTACTGTTAAGTTGTTCCCAAGTACGTCTGTACTTCGTGAAGTAAACACATAATGTGGAAAACAATTTCAAGTTACAAATCATTCTGGTCTTCCGATTTTGTGCCACAAACCAACATAGTCAACATGTGCCAAATTGTTCAAATATACTTACATGATAAAGGCCAATATACCACAAATTACTGTTAATTTACAATTTATACCAACGTTCAACAATAATTTTTTAATACAAAGGATTTGTATACGAATGTTTTACGTACAATCAACTAGTGCGTATTTAGATCTAAATACTTACGCAAATGTATTTATACAATAAAAATTATTTTCAACACTTCTCAATTTCCTAACCAATCCTCTTAAACAAGAAGAAAATAAATATGGATACAGTTTAACCTCATTATTCCTCCAATTCACATCTTTCATTCATAAACAGAATGAAAACAGCCGAAAGCGATGAAAAGCATTCACGTTTTAACGATCATCCGTGCTCGCAGATGACAAATTCATGGCTTTCAGTACTAGGTATGCTAGCAGCTATGAATTACTCTCTGTGACAGAATTGCCAATATGCCTGCTTTGTTTTCCCTACGCGTATTTTTAATCGGTCGAGAACGAAAGGAAAAGACAGTTTTATTTTGCTTTGAATTGAAACAAATGTAGATATTACCCTTATAAATAATAAAATTATATTAATTACTATTAAACACGTCATAGAGGCATACAGACGGCGTGGCAGTAAACATTCACGCTTTCTCTATGTCAACACTAGAAGGAATCAAAATCGAATAAACATTTCCACTTACATTTCTCATTCACCAGTTGTCTTAAAATTATTCACAATGCAACAATCTAGACATTTTGCGTGATATTTTCCACAGTGAAGTTTGGTAATAAGTCCAGATGTGTACTGCTGACACATTTATGGGTGGTTATTTGCTTGGTGTCAGTCCTTCCAGAACAATAACGCTGCTCTAGTGTATGCTGACCCGTAATTTGTATCTCCTGCTCACACGAAGAATGTGTGGAGCTTTACCTCCCACACATATTCATGGTCTGCTGCATAATTAAGCACATCACAAATTTTGACCTTTACTTGCTCTTAGCTTCAGACAATCCAAGGGAAGTGTGTCAACTTAAAAGGAATAAAACATCACAATGATCTATGCTTTAATTTTATTCATTTTTGTCTTTACATAGCATTTTATTCTAATTTGCTTGTATTTTTGTGAAAAAGTTTTGTTTCATTATCAGTTTCTAGTTACTTACCCAATAATTTATTCAGAATGTGGATAATGATGGGCCCCCAAATAATTTGAACCCACTTTCTGGCTCACATGCAAGAGGTTTGTCAACAACATATCAAACATCAGCTGTCACTTACCCACTTCTTTGCATCAACCTAAAACAATTCTGTAGGACACAATAATACTGTATTTTCAAAATAAAGGAAAAGTAAAATAAAGAAAGGGTTTTGGGTTACAATAGAAGACCGTCACCAACAATTTCTCGCAACTTGCATTACCTTCGTTACTCAAACAAACTTAGTATTTTCTCATAAAAAAACATGATAGGGAAAATAGAAGAATAATTAATTGCCTTTGGTTATGTTAGTATACCAATAAAACTCCTCCCTAACCTCTCCATGTGTGGCCACGTGACATTCTATTTCATGTCAGTTATAAAGACTATTATGACATTCAGGTGGCAAGTAAACTGTCGTGGGCAATTCAACGAAGCATCACACACAATGCGCTTATGAGATGCACAAACTCTTATTGAAATATTATTGATTTCTTTCTTTCTAACAGTGGAATATGAGACAGTTATAAGAACATAATAAACTGTGTCGCTGTACCAAGTACCAATGTCTGTTCACGTTGAAAGCAAAACGTCCCTCCTCTTTGTGGACTTCGCAGTCTTCAAGTTACAAACACAGGCCAATTACAAGTTCAGTCTTTGCAGAACACACATGCACCGAAATACGTACGGACAAACACAGAAACACTCCATCCACTTCCACCTGTCAGAAGAATACTTTACAGTTAAATTATGCTAATAAAAATACTTCTGAAGATCACACTCCATTCTTTAAGAGACACATACACTAAAACCCTGTTGTTTCCTCGTGTTGTAATGGATTATGAACAAACGCAACAAGAAACTACCCAACAACCTTCCAGCAAGAACCAATCTGAATGTGGGGAGCTGCCAACCTCTTAATACATGGCTAAAATAAACTTGCACATTTTGGCAATCAATTAGTTTTTATTCCTGTTTTTGCAGGTTCTCCATCCACACTGTACAGTATGACCTACAACAAATAAATAAAATGAACGCACGCTCTCTGGATTACCGGGCACCATCACCAGCGTTTCCCATTTGTTACATTATCATCAGCGACATGTGATGATTGCTGGCGGGCAAACTGGGCAATGGCAAGAGCATTTTACTTAAATTTCACAAAATTCTTCGCTTTACTTTAATATAACTCAACTTTGCAGTTGTTCTGCGTGGATGTCACGTCTTTCGGGAAAAAAGACATGCGTCTGAACATTTTACGACAAAGATGTCTGGGCACAAGAAGGAAGAAACAGGTTGCCACAGGAGCAGCTTCATGATTTATGTAGGACTAAACCGCGACTTTCTCAGCTTAGGGCAGTTCTGGCTTCAGTCTGTGTCCATGATGGACGACGTGCCCTGCGTGCTGCTGCTGCCGCCACTCGAAAATGAGCTGCGACAAGTGTCCACCGCCAGAGCACTGTCGGGGATTACCACGAGCTCCCCCTTGGCTGGCTCTCGCACGCAACTGGCCAGGAAGCCGATCTGCCTATTTGTTCCCTCCTCCGACGAGACCTGTGGCTTCTGCTGCCGGCTGCGGCCGTCTTTGTCCCGACGGGGGATCCCCAGAAGTCTGCGTGCCTCGCGCTGAATGCGCCGGTTGCGGTACGGAAAGAGGCAGGGCGAGACGAGGGCCGCGGACACCAGCAGCGTGACGCTTGCGTAGTGCACGTACCGTGGAACGTGCGTGAGAGTGCGCAGGCCCAGAACGGTGACGTAGGGCAGCCAGCACACGAGCGCCATCACGATGACGAGGGCCGAGACCCGCGCTGCTCGCGTCTCCTCGCGGTACAGAAACATGCTCGCGTTCGAGACGCGGCACTTGTGCGATCCGGTGGCACTTGCGATGGGCCCCGAACCCGTTCTGCGCGTTCGCTTGCTGTTCTTGTGCGCGGCCGAGTAGATGCACACGTACATCCACAAGATGGCGAAGAACGGCACGAGGAAGACCACGGCGATGAACACGGCGGCGAAAGTGGACCGGTAGTCGAAGTGCTCGCTCCATTCTCCCGCCCCGCGCAGCACACCGAGCAGACAGGCAACACTCCACGCGGCCAGCATCAGCCCCACGGAGCGCGCTTTGCTGATCCGCGCATGGTAGCGCAGAGGGTCGACCACGGCACAGTATTGGTCCAGCGAGATGAGAAACACGGCCAACACCGAGGCAGCGCACATTCCCGCGGTCACACCCTCGCCGACAGGGTGCTCGATGGCATTCAGCAGTGCCAGGGGCAGGAGAACGGAGGTCGACACCAGGTTCGTGCACAGCAGGTTCACGACGAATCTGTTGGACAGCGTCCTCAGGGCAGGTCGTCTGTACAGGACGAGCAGGACTGTGGCGTTGGCTGCGGTCCCTGTCAGGAAGATGAGCGCCAGGACAACCTCACATAGCAGCACGTCGTCCATTCCATCCGCACGTCGCACCTGCAAATTAGAAGATGCGTTAGTCCGCTACTGCCGTAACCTGGCAACGGATAGTTAGCGCGGTCAATGGTAGATGGCGCAGCAATGAAGCGGCGTGTCGCTTTGGCTTCCGGCAATGAACACGTGGCGCGTCACGATCGCTCGCTTCTCTGATTCACCGCTGTTACATGCGGACAGACATTCCGGAGCCAACGGGCGCGGCATCAGAGTCGTCCGCCCGCCCTCACTCTGTCCCTGCACACGCCGTACAGAAAATGCCAGGCTACAGTTCAGCTGTCGAACATCCTCCGTGAAAAAAGTGAAAGCACAATAGTGAGATCCCGTCTGCGACCAAGTGTGGGCACTTCCTGCAGAACCAAGCTCGGACTGAGCAAGGCTTGGTCTTCAGAACTTCAGTCGTCGGTCTCGTGTAACAGGAACTGAAAGTATTTCAACAAGAAACACGTTTCGGTACGGCGAACGCTTAAAGAATTACAAGGACAAACAATTTAGTGCCATTTGATTATAAAAAGAGAGAGAGAGACGCGAATATACGACAAAAGAATATGACGCGCTCCTGAAACACGTGAGAGCCAGATAAATGCCTAAGCTCAGCGTCCAGCACTCACTACGTTGTGGAACGACGTCGTTAAATCCAAAAACAAAATAATCTGAAAATGTGGAAACTACTACTGTCCCAGTGCCCGCACAAAGGGGCTCAGCCACGCCTCTGAGCACCGCGAATGAGTTTGGTGCACCGAATGCGGTCTCAACTTCTGTGGCATTTGCCGGGCGCTGATTTGGGATCTCAGATTCGAGAATCTTCGCTCATTCCCTGGGCGAGATCCAATTTTCTCTTCCGACCTTCAGCGATTACAAGCACGAATAAAACAAAAAATGATTAAATGGAGTGCGATCCTAATTTAAACGCTGACAGTTTCACTGGTGGTCAGAAAATAACCAGCTTTTTATGGAACCACGATTTTTCATCACAGCGATCACAACAGCCCGCCACTGGTTCGTATCACGAGTCTGTCAAATCCTGACCATATCCTCACCCCACTTTAATATTATCCCTCCATACACGCATGGGATTTCTCAACTGGCATCTTTCCATCAGGTTTTTCGACAAGCAATTTAGAATGAACTTCTTCTCCATGCGCGCTACATGCCCCGTCCATCTTATCCCGATCGGACCGACTTCACAGTATCTTGTAAACAGTGCGGATTATGAAGCTCCTCATCTTGTACTTTTCTCCGTTCCCAAACTCGCGTTAAGGGCGAAAGACCAAGTTCACGCCCAAAGGAAACAGCGGCCCCTGAATGTAATTTTCAAAAAATATGACCCGGAAGTTCGGGAATTTGACGGACTGAGTTACTACTCCCGTCTGAACCTTCACGATGGAAGCGGTATGTTCCTCCGAGACGTTAAGTCCACGCAGCCTTACAAGCATTAGCGTAAGGACGGAAGGAGCGTGAAGCAGAACAAGAGTTGAAATGCCTTGACTCGGGGCGCCAAGCTACAACTCTGCTTTCGCTGGAACCTTGTGGTGTCCGCTTCGAGTCCCGACGAGGGCGGGCCGTCCTGTTTCCTGCCAACGGGGGTCCGACCTACGTTAATTTAAAAACGCCAGAAAAATTTTGGGTTCACGTGTGCCAACGCTGCACCAACCGGAAATGTCACGTGTCGTTAAAGGAACCACGGGAAGACATTTACCCACAAAACCTGAGGACAGTGGCGGAGGAAGAGTCGAAATGAGGCGCGTCCGCCACTGATAAATGAAAACTCTGTTGCCACGGGCCGGATCTAAACTCCGCACTGAAAGATCTGAAGGAAAATACAATTGTGTGCGTTTGGAAAACACGAAGAACATCCATTCACTACAAGGTCTAGACATTTTATATTTTTGTCTCAATTTAATCGCTCAGACCATCCGTTCCTCTCTTTCTTCTCGCATCAGTGGCCAGAGATCCTCTTACCTCCCGATGTAGCGTTCAGTTCGAAATCGCTTACAGGAAACTTTTATGAAGTTCGGCGAACGCGAAGGCCAGCTTCATCGTGGGGAGGGCGGGCGGGCACACGAGTGAATCCTGATGAATGGCCCAATTACTTACGAACTGTTAAGGTACAATTTGGCTGCACGCGACAGAGACAAGCGACCGAGGCAGGCGACAGAGACGGGAGACGGACACATCGCAGCTTGTCGCCACACACTTTTGAGGTGACGACCGAGACATGCGGTAAAGTGTTTGTTTTCTTTGTTTTGTTGAGACATACGTGCACATATTCTGTGAAAAATGAGTACAAAAATGCTTCTAAAAAGGTTACTCGAAGAAGAAGAAGAAGAAGATGATGATGATGATGTGTTGCTGTGTTATTTGTTGCGAAAGAAACAAAGAAAACCCATGAGTTCAATATTCAAAACCAGACGCGAAGAAGGATCTTTCTGTCGGTGGTCAGTGGTCGGTTTTCTGCTACTAATTCTACCAATTGCTCATCTTGGTCACCAGTAAATTTAATTTCTGCCATTATTTTACTCAACAACACACGTGCTGCCTGAGCCCGTCGCGAGACACTACTGGTCCGAGAGCGGTCTCCTGTGCTTTGTCTCTGTCTCGCGCTCGTAATTGTACTTCATACGATTGTACAGAGAGCAGACAGGAAGCGACCAGTCTCGGTCTCGTAACTCTGTCGCCTGCCTCGGTCGCTTGTCTCTGTCGCGTGCAGCCAAATTGTACCTTTACAAATTATATCAACATGGCGACGACGCGAATTAATTAGGCCTTATGGAGTTAATGGCTCACGCCCTGTCCGACACCTTGCGTTTGTTTACTGCCATCGGAGAGAAGTTGTTTCCAGCTATTAATAATTCAGGGGCCATGACGTAACGTGGCCTTGTGGCCAGAAGCCGGTTCTCGCCCCACTCACCTGAGCCACTCGGCTGACTCTGACCTAGCTCCTGCTTCCAAAGAGACCACTTGCACGAATTCAAATCGGACGCGTCGATGCTCATCTTCTGGGTTGTTAACAAAGTTTCGGCTCAACATATTGCGTCCATCTTCAGGGCTGAGGTCCACAAGGCGTTACAACCCAGAAGACCAATATGGGAGTCATAACAATGATTAATTAATAATGTACTGCACCAGAATTTGCCTGGAGGGGCTGAGAAAAACCACGGAAACCCTCAGTCACTACAGGTCTCGGGGCGGAGATCCGAACCCCCGGACCTCCCGCGTAGAAAGCAGCGGTGCCAAACCAGATGTTGATCAAGTGTTCGGTGGTCCAGCCCCTCCGCCAATAGGATTCCGAGAACTCGTTAAAATGAACTGTTTGATATGACTGCCGCGCAGATGTCTCTGCTTTGCATCGTGCAGCCCCCGGATGAGCTTAATTTTCCGTATCAATTTTTCGTTATCGTACTTTATTATTCCCACCGACGGTGACGCAAATTTGGATTTTTCTTTTCTTCGATACGTGCAGAAAACGCGTACTGAACGGAAGCCGAGCAGGTAAATGGCGCTGCGGGGATCTCCTTGAATCAGATTACAAATCCTCGCTCGATACCATCAGAACTGGACGTGAGTCACAAAAATTATGTTTCTGTCCTTGCCTGATTTTTGTTAATACTTTTATCAGCTCGCAGATCCAGGTCAAAATCATCGCCATACAGCGCTAAACCCTGGCAGCGTAGAGAAAGCGAGTCACAAGGTGCCCACTCGCGGCCATTTTGCGCGCAAACGCCGATAATATAAGCCTCTGGCCCGAGTGATGCAGCCGACTTTCTTGTGTGTCGTAAGGAGGAGGAGGAGGAGGCCCCACGACCAGCCGACCTACCGTCCGAAACCACAAACGCTGAAGAAAAAGAAGAATTAGCATTGTTATTGCGCTCCCAGCTTTATGGCTCGCGGCACGTGACGGCCCGTGGACCGAGGAAGTTACCGTAACATAAAACCAAACCGGTTGTGCGACAATCCCGGCAGACATTAATCAGGATGAATTACGACCTCCAGATGGCGTTTGCGTAATTTAATAGGAAATGGCTACGGACGAAACACCTGGCCTCTCCGAAATTAAAAGGCTTCACGGCGGTCCACTCCGAATCCAAAGCCGGGCTCATTTTCGTGTGCAAGACAGCATGCGATGCGATTTTCCGTCACACGTTTCTTGATTGAAAATTAAGTTTCCCGATTTACTGAGACACGACCGCACTTACGGTCAGATCCTTCGTCAGCTTTCGTCACAACTCCGACAGCGACCATCGCCCTTCGTCGTTCAAACCAGAAGCAATCATCGGGCGAACAACGCGGAAGCAGGTGGCGACGAAAGAGACACACAAAACGCATTTATCACGTAAAAACAAGGGTGAAGGGGGAGGCGACCTCGAACCAACTTCCTCGTTCGGCGCAATCACAGTCGGTGGGATCGTCACGCCGATTGGACCCGCTGCCTGTCTGTGACGGGAACCGCAGAAATTCCTTCGATGTCTGGCAATGAAGGGGCGGACAACGAGACCTCGGTTTCATTAATTGCTTTCCGAAGCGAAACTTTTGCACTTGGTATATTTCATTACCGCAGAGAACAAGGTTTCTGGCCTAACACGTGGGTTTACACCGGCCACGACAACGAGGCTTCGGGAACCGAGTCACTACATGTTGTGCGCGACATTGTTCTACTCGGTTCTGCTGGGAGTCGACGTGGAGTTGGACCAGTTCTGATGCGAATGCGAAACTAAGAAAGGATGGCGTCGTACCACCTGGCACAGCGAGCTGTGTGGGTCAAGGTGTAGGGGGTCAACGACTTCTGAGGCGGGTGATCGCGTCTGCCCTAGCGACTTGCTTAACCGATACAAGACACAACCGCCCCTCGTCTCCGGACAGAGAATCGTGAGACAAAGACCCTCGGAAATGCCTGGCGACGAAACCAACAAATCAAAATTGGACTTGCACGAGGTCAGAGCGGACTGAATGCAGTTCCGAACATTTTGTAACCCGTCTGCTGTCTAGGAACGCAATTTTTGGCGTGGGGCGCGAAATATATTGTCTCTCGCGGTGCTTGAGGGCAGGGGAGGGGTGTGAGGAAGATGGCCACACAATCTGCGCTGTTCACAAAATACATTAAAGTGTAATGAGAAATTAATACAGAATTTTCAGTCGCTAAACGGAAAAGATGCTACCATTTCTGTGCCTTAGGCGTATATGGCAATTGACGTATAATATTAAAAACGAACCCAGAAGAAACAGGGTGTGAGCGCATGGACTGGGTCCGGCGGCGGGCTCTTTTGCACACAGCAACAAAAACGCATTCGGGTTCTGTGAAAGCGTGGAATTTCTTGCCCAGCTGACAGCGAGACTCGGATTTTCTGATGAACTCGGCTGAGGTCATGTGGGCCTTTCCTGACCTTGCGCGGGTGCGAAGTGCGGGCAGAACAAAGTTCAAACAAGTTTGTTGGTCGCTGGAAAC